CATATCCACCTGAGTGCCCTTGACAAAGGCGTCCGCGCGCCTCAGCATGTCCTTATCCCTGGCCAGCCCCACCAGCCGCTCCTCCCCCAGGCCCTGCACCCCCTCAGCCAGCAGCCGCACCAGCGGCCCCGCAAGCACAACCGCGCCGGCGGCCGCGTCGAGCTGCAACTCTAGCTGCGGCTGCGGCAGCGGCCCCGGCGCCGCGCCGCCGGCGTGCCGCACCGAGTCGCAGAGGCCGCGCCAGAGCTGGGGGCAGGGTAGGTGGGCGGCCGAGGGGGCGGGCGCGGGGAGAGGGTCAAGTCAGGGGCATGACACCAGATTAGTCGCGGCCGCAGGCATGGCGATCCTGCTGCGGCACCTTCATATGTCTATCAACTGCTGAGCCCACGGCTGTGCTGACGCCAGCACACGTAGGTGTCCACCCAGCCGGTCCCGGAGCAACCCTGCTGTCAGTGGCAGCTCGGACCCCCCACCTGCAAACTCCCCATGCCGCCGCCCCGCCCGCAGCCTCGGCCCCGGTCCCGGCCGCCCCCGCCGCCCCGCCCGCCACCGCAGCCGCCCGCCGCCTCTTCTCGCTCCAGCAGTGCGGTCACGTCCTGCCCGCCGCCGCCGCCGCCGCCGCCGCCGCGCGCCTCAGATTGCACAGCCTGCGGCGCCACTGTAGCGAGCGCGGTGCGGAACAGGAGCCCAAGCAGCTGCCTCGCAGATTCCCGCTGCTCCCCTCCAGTCGCAGCCATGCTGAACGGCGAGTGCAGCTGCGACGCCACCACCGCATCATCGCCGGCCTGCGGTAGGGGCGGCCTTGCGGCGGCGCCGCCGCTGCCGGCGTCGTCAGAGGGCAGGCGCCACTCGCGCCGCTCCTCTGGCAGGCTGTTTGCAGCGTCTCCCTTGGACCTCACAAACAGCATGCCGCCGCCGGCGTCAAACGCCCAGGAGTCTGGCTGCCACCCCTGCTGCCGCGCGAGCCGCTCCACCAAGCCCCGCGGGGGGCGGCCGCCTCTCATCCAGGCCGATCTGCGGCCGCCCCCTCTCGGCCTCCGCGCCCGCGCCTTTGGCTGCACCGCTGCTGCCGCCGCCGCCGGACTGCGCTTGCCGGTCTGGGAAGGTGACGAGGTACTGCAGCACCTCCGCGTTGCCGGTCTGGACTGGGAAGCGGTTGACCAGCAGCGGGATCTCGCGGCCCGCGGCGCCCGGGCGCAGCGGCGGGAGCGGCAGTCCGCAGGAAGGGTCCTTTGGGGGCGGGGGCGGCGGTTGAAGCCAGGTTGAAAGTGTGAGGGGGTGAGAGATTGAGAGAGACTTCGCTGACGCCTCGCGCGGCTCAAAGCCACGCTGCAAGCGGCGCCGCGTCGGGTTAAGGAGAGGGGTGTGTGGTGAGCCACACCCCCCACCGTATGGGGGGGTTGGGGTTGCAGCGGATGGCAGATAGAGGGGATGAGGGGGGCAAGGGCCTGCAGGGGGCCTGCGGGGGGCAACCCCGCGGCCCCCTGCAGGCCCTTGCCGAGTGGCGAGTTCGTGGCTGCAACCGCCCGCAACCGCCTGTAACTGCCCGCAACCGCCCTGATGACGCAAGGTTGGACACAGCAGGCCCTCAGCCCTCGGCTGGATTGCACAGCACGGCTGGCCGCGCAGGGGCTGGTGTGCATGCATATACGCGCACATGCACGCGCAGTCGCACCTTGCCGGCAGCGTTTGTGAGCTTCAGGCGAGGGTCGGCGAACAGCTCGTTCAGCCACCCGCGCGCCTCGTCGAGGCTCATCCGTCTACCACCCTCGGGCGCCCTGCCCCTGCCGCCGCCGCCCCTGCCGCCGCCTCTGCCGCGGCCGCCGTCGCCCCGCCCGCCGCTGTCGCTGTCCTGGGTGGGACGTCTGGGCGGGGGCCGGACGAGCTCCGCGCGGCATGTCAGCACAGACGCGCGGTAGGGCGGGCGCGGGCGTGGCGCTGCCCGCAGGGCGGGGCTCAGGCTCGCCCGCATGGTGTATAACTGCGCTTATCATGAATGTGCGAGAGCCTAGGCAATGCGAATGCAAGCGCGTCTCCGTGCTATGTATCCTAGGTCGAGTTGGCTGTCTGTGCTGATCACGGATTGGCTCGTTCGGATCGGCTTGGGCAACTCTGGACACGGAGGACCAGTGCCTGTCGAGTTGTTTGGGTATCACTTCCGGAAGGGCAAGACATCACGTTGCATCCGTGTGGAGGTTTCTTGCGTCACCTGGTTACCCCCTCGCGTCAGCAGCAGGCGAGGCCAACGCAATCGACGGGACCAGTTGTGCACCGCCACAGCAAGCACACATGGAGCTTCCACCTGAAAAGTGCACATTGCGATTGGGCACCCTGAGCGCACTTTCAAGCGTGACAGACAGGGATGAAGATATGGCGCAAAACCCACAAAAACACCAAGCACATCGAGCACAGCGTCAGCCGGCGGTGAGTTTGTACCTGCCGTTGACACTACGGGTAAAGGATAAGCAAGGAGTGTAGTCAGAGGCTAATATCCCAACAGCCAAGCTGGAATAGCACACACGCGGCCCATGTGAAGCAGCCAAAGCTCCACCAGCCACGTTGGCACCTTTGTACCTGCCGGGGCCTTCTCCCCATCTATCGGGCAACATCCACTGCTACAAACAGCCACTGACAACCAAACATGTCTGTTTTTGGGTGACCGCAACCGGGTGGGTGGCACAAGTGGTTCCATACCATGGTGAATGGGCAGGTGGCACAAGGGCACATGCATCAGTGCACTACTCCGCCGCTGGTGACTGCCATGTGCAATCGTGGCGTGAGCCCCTTTAGTGTATGGGACCAATGGCTTTGTGATGCTCCATACGTGACATTTTTGCACGGGTCGGGCGGGGCAGGCGGGGGGCGGCTGGCAGAAAACGGTGGAAGCGGCGGCGCAGTTTTTTTGTGCATGCTGGTTCATCGGGGTGGATGATCGTGCGTATCCGAGTGCGGTGGTGATGGTAGTTTGGGTGGTGGGCCGGTGGCAGCTGTCCGAGGCAGTGTGCGCCCGGGTGCTGCTCCACTCCTGAGGGCACGCGGCTGCGCGTTTCCGAGGCAATTGTTGCCAGCTCTCAAATTGGGGTGCTGCCCTTGGCTGTGCCCTGCGCGGTCAAGTTTGCCACGCCCTGAGCATCGTGACCAGCACGCGCCGCATACTGGCACAAAGAAGTCAATATGATGGGTTTGTGTGACCTGTTGTATGCAGAATGGCAAGGGCAGGACGAGTGCAGCACCAAGAGGCAGCAGAGGGGCCGGCCACGTCACCTCCAAAACTGTGCAAGTGTTACACGATACTGCGCTTACGAGTGATGCACCGGTTTGATGGAGAAAACAAAGCCGTTCCAACAAGACAAGGGAGGCAAGACGCATTGTACAGCACTCACGACGCGTGGCAGTCCAGGGTTGAGGGGTCAAAAAGAATCACGCAAAGCAAAGCGACGCAAGACGGGGCGGGCAAGGGCGGCGTCAACAGCCAGACCCCGGCCGGCGTGGTGATTTCCAATGCCGACCAGGAACACAGGCCTGGTGAGCCTGTCAGCTCGGACCATAGAATCGCTTCGACTGATCAAATATGAGTGCAAAGCGGACGCAGGTGCATTGCCGCGGAGTGCTTCGTCTCTAAAGGGTGCAAGTGAAGGGCATAACAGAGATGGGTAGGTTTTGAATCCGACGATGACGGGGGCGGGAGCATTGGCTGGTGAAGCAGCGCCGCCCGGACCAGCTCTGATTCGCAAACAACAGGCTGGAAACCGCTTAGCAGTTGTTATAATTGTGCCTGCGGCTGTTCGGGACCCGGCCACTTGGCTGCGGCGCCTAGGGCCGCTGGTGCTGCATGTGCGCCGCCGCCGCGGGCGGCGCGGCAAAAAGGATATGGGGTGCGGGGAAGTACACGAAACCGCCGGGGTACCCGGGAAACATAATAGGGTATGGCACGGGGGCGCCCGGGAAGGCGACGTATGCCAGCGAAGGGTAGCCCGCGGGCAGCGCCAGCAGGGGCTGGGGGTAGTAGGCGGCCGGATAGCCTGGGGTGAGGGGCACGCCCGCGGCCATTGGCCGGGACCACGGCGGCAGGGACCGCGCGGGCGGCATGGTGCGGCGGACTGCTGCTGCAGCTGCTGCAGCTGAAGGGGTGCGGCCAGCTGCTGAGGCAGCACCGCTGCCACCGCTGTCGCTGAAGGCGCTGCTGCTGTTGCCCGATCTTGAGCTGGTGCAGCCACCTGCGTGCGACCGCTGTTGCTGTTGCGGCTGCTGCTGCTGCTGCTGCTGCTGCTGCTGCTGCAACTGCGACAGCCGCTGCATCAGCTGCTGCCGCTGCTGCTGCCGCTGCGGCGGCTGCTGCTGCTGCTGCGGCGGCTCCTGCGGCTGTGGCTGCAGCGGTCGCAGCGCCTGCTGCGAGGTGAGAGGCACCGACTGCATCTGAGCTGTCACCAGGCGGCTGGCGCTGGTGCCAGGGTCCTGCTCAGAAGCGCTGACAGCTGCTGCAATCGCGGCAGAGCGCCCGGGGGACACATCTGACGCGGGGTTGAGGGAGGGCCCAGCAGTGGGCGGTGCGGTGTGCTGCAGGAGTCCGCTGTAGCTGCTGCTGGCGCTGCCATCTGCGGCGCTGGATCCGCAGCCACTTGTTATGATGGTGGCGCCGCCGGGGTTGCTGTGCTCACTGTCGCGGGTGCTGCTGCTGGCCCCACTTGGCGTGGTTGCGCCATGCGGCGCGCAGCCTGCGCTGATCGCGGGTGTGTGAGGGCCCTGGTGGCCGCACGCGGCACAACTGGAGGCCTCTGCGCTTGGCGCGGCTGTGGGCGGAGGCGATACAATTAGCAGCTCTGAGAGCTTGTACTGCGGCATCATGGTGGCGGTGACGATCGCGCATTGTGAAGATCAGAAGGCCGCTACTATGATCTCGATTCAAAATGGACAGCAGCCTGGCCCACATGATGTGTAGGGTTGGGCTCGTGAACTCACGGTGTGCGCCAGTGCACCAAGGGGCACCTGTTAAATTGGTCCTGCTAACTGGTGACTCGCCACAGCGCCTCGAACACCTCAGTACATCACGCAACTCAAGGGGCCACTGCAGCCGTTCAAGGCCTGCATGCCGCCGCTGCCACAGGCCTGCTGCAGCTTGAGCGACCCGTGCCCCACCTGCGGCATGCTTGTGAACCACGTGCGCCGGGCAATAACGCAGCTGTTGTCCTCGCCGGGCCCCGTCTGGAGGACGTAGTGCTGTGCCACCTTGTGCATTAGCATCCGCTGATCGTGGCAGGATTGAGGGCGGAAATGGAAGTCAAACGACCTGTAAGGCTGCAGGTGATTGCCAACACGCGAAGCCGTGAGGCTCGCGCTCCATGCGATACCGGTGCGCACGCACGCTTGTGTTCGCGGGACTGCCTGGGTCGCTCACGCGCTTGTTGGAGTCCTCCCTGGGGAACTCCAGGGTCTCCATGTCGCTGGCTACAAAATCCTCCACCAGGGCCACGTACTTCAGCACTGAAGTGTGCGAGTGTATGTATGCATGTGTATCAATGAGGAGAGGGTATCAATGAAGCACCAAAGCCAATGCCATGCCAAGGCATTGGGTGGGCGGCAGTGAAGGTCTCCCAACAGCGAGGGCCACCAGCGGGTTCCCGCGCAAAGGGGACCGTGGCCACATCACCCGGTGACGCGCGGAGGAGGATCTCACCGTCGTCCAGGTGCACGCTGCTTTTCATGGCGGTCCGCAGGGCGATGTCGACTGTTGCGAGCGACTCGCGGGTGCAGAGCGCGAGAGGGTCGCTGCATGCAGCAGCGTCGACTGCTGGGGACCCTTCGCCTGATACGCCCAGGTGGGGCACCATGCAGCGCTCCTCATCGCAGGACCCGCTCGTGCTGTTCATGAGTTCAGCACACAGAGGAGAGGTCGACGGCCGCACGATGCCGGAGGTGGCTGGGAAGGTGGTCCTCATCTGATCCCCTCGGCAAAGGTTGAGTCGCAGAAGCTCAATCACCACAATGTTTCAAGACACCGCGCAAGTCGCCCACACGGCCAGCCAACAGCCATGCATGCTGACACCGTGAGATCGAACTCGTGTGGTGCAAGGAAAAAACTAGTGTAAGTCGGAAGTGCGATCGGCCGTCGCAACTTTGCTCTACGGTACCAGCTTGCTTGTTGGGGTAGCGTTGGTCGGGCGATTATCCCCAGCTGGTGATGATCCTTATGGGCACGTACGGTAGCCACAGGCTCACTTGATACCATTTGTTTGTGGTGAAAGCTCCATTGCGCAAGGCAGGCAGCGCGTGGTCGCCCGCTCGGCAATTCATAAGGTAGTTGGCGGGCCATGACAGCTCGGGCTCGTGGGACGGCGACAACGGGGTCATTGCAAGTTTCGCATTGTCTTGAGGCATCAAGGGACTCAACGAACGACGCCAGAGGTGCAGGCCAGTTTTGCATGCGGTGCTAGTGTCATGCTTGTCGTCGAAAGGGCTGCGCACGGATCCGGACGAGTGTTGAAGTGGACCTAGGGACTGGTCATTGTCCACGCGGGTCACCAGGGCCGGAGGAGGCGAACTCAAGGCGTGCAAGATGCATGCTGGGTCGCCGCAGCAGTGCGAGTGGCGAGGCGCCGAGCTGCTAAACGCTGCAGAGGCCGAAGAAGGCGCGCCGGCGCTGCAGTGGCATCTCATGCATGGACCTAGCAACCCGGTGCCAGACGTGGGGCATCTAAGATGTAAAAGCCACCGGTGAGCGGGGCTGGCAGCACCCCGCCAGCCCCGCTGGCGGGCTGATGCGCGCGTGTAATCTGGCCTCACACATGCAGTGACAGGCGGCACGCATGGGCGCGCTAGGGGACACGCATGGGCGCGCTTGGGGGCGCGCGTGTGACAAACCTGCGGCCAGGCACAGCCAATCGCCCCCGCGTGCACTGGACAGTGCGCTGCGCCGCGCCCAAGGCCTCGGGGCGTGCAGCTTCCACCCTGGTTCCAGGCTTCTTCCATTCTCGTGCCCCGGCAGCTGGCCATCTCCACCCCGCTTCCCTGAGGCCCCCGCCGCG